TTCAGGAGAACTAGTAAGTATAGCAGGCTGCCCATTTTATCATTGTTTCAGAAAATCCAAGCTTTATTTATAGTCTAGGTGCAGAGATCTATTCCTTCCTGACAATCGAAGCCTGATACTTCGACAATGCGTTGGATTAGCTGCTGTATAAAGTTAACAAAGTATGATAATTTAATATTAGCTACGAGCTTTACTAGCCATTGCATATTCTTGGTAATGTAATTGTACAGCGTATAATTATGTCTATTTTCTAGGTTACTGTGAGAAAGTGGATCCGTTTGCAAGGAGAATTTTGTAAAGCCACCGTTTATTGATGTTAATTTTTTTTGGAGGATATTGTAAAGCTGCTTCATCTTACTATCGATATGAGTTCGATATTACTCCATTACATTACTAGTTCGATATTACTCATTACAACTATAACTTATTATGTTGCTTGCAAACATTCAAGAGCTTACCTTTCAGCGATGTCATGTCAAGAGAAAAAGATGGGGAAGCCTCATGAGAAGAAGACTGAGAAGCTTTCGAAGATGAGGAATTGGAAACCATGCTCCCAGGCTTGGCTGTAAGCGCTGACGAGTATACTGGTAACGAATCAGACTCGATCATGGACAAAAACGTGCACATTCCACAAGGTTCTGAGGATGACTGTAACGGAACTGACGATAGACAAAGAGCTCTTTTGAAAGTTGACATTGTAGTTGGTAATTGGACCATCAATGTGCAGTCACCCAACGTTCTGCGCTTTTGTGACCAAGCGGCAGGTGTCCAACACAGTATTGTAACCGCGGTGCCGACAGCCAGCTCATTTCTACGCACTGCTCATGACCAATCTTTGAGAGTTGATTGTAGAGCAAATAAATACCTATGGCACTCAAAAGAACGTCGATTGGGAGGATATCACTGTGGAAGAAATGAAGACATTCATAGCTCTGTGTATGCAAATGAGTTTTATGAAGCTACCACACCTGGTAAATTATTGGAGCAGCCATTCGTCTTTTAGAAAACCATTCTCAGGAGTATGAGGTCGTGAAGGATTGCAACAAGCACAAGTATCTCGTCGAATTCACGGACCAAATAACTGCCTATTGCTCATACACCAGGAAGACTTGTGAAATGGTAAGTGCATTTTGCTGCGATATTGCTTCGCAATATCTAATTTCACAGTTCAGGTACATCCGCCTGTTCTTCCACCTGGTAACGCATATGTGCCTGATGAACGCGTGGATAATCTACAAGGGCTGCGTGGAAAAAATTTCGTTCACCGATTTCATGATGGATGTTTATCTCAAATACTTACATGATCATGTCGTTCCACAGCCAATACCCAGGTGTATTCTCGGAGTCACTTTGCCACGTCGCGGACGTTGTATTGGATGTTATAGAAATTGGTAATGCGTGTAAATACTGCTTATGCTCGAAACAAAGCTTAAAGAGTAAGCACGAGTACAGTCGAAGTAAGCAGCATATTTGTTTACCTTGTTTCAAAACTATTCATTGCAGATGTGTTGTAGGCGTTTTGGCTCGACAAGTTGTATAATTTAGCTCGAATCATGTCGTATAATACTGAAACATTTATGAACCGAGAACTGATTATTTTAGGATTTGATGTTTGTTGTTTTAGAACGCATAATTTGTTGAATGCTACAAGCAAACTTCTATGGAACGCGGGTAAATGTTGACCGGTACTGATATTTAGGGTGAACTGCTATGATCGACAATTGTTGTATAATTTATTGTTTGTTGAATAAATTTTTCAAACAAAAGACCAACAACATCAGTGAAAGGTTTCAAAAATTTTGGTTGAGAACATGCAATTTCTCCAGAGAAGTACTCTACAAATTGATGACTGTGGGCTTTACGAAAGCCTATTCCACTGCGTACTAAAATACACACCACATGAGCTTCTTGAAAAACTCATAAATCGAAAAAAATTCGTTTCGGTTTTACACTATTGCATATCGTCAAAAAATAGGAAGCAAGAACTGAAGATGCGTTAATTTCTCCTTGATGTTACTAAGGGGTATTCAAAAGTGGGAAATTTCACAACACGTGGACTTTCTTTTTACGAAAAGAGACTTTTATAGAAGGCCTTTAGTAACATATCATTCTTTTTGATCATAACTTGCCTCTAAGGTACGAATTTCACTATACAATCACCAAAACACCCACTGGGAACTTTAGAAGTTTAGATGTTCACTCAGAGTGTGAGATCTAATCTCAATTCCCTTGCTTCAGGGTAATAAAATATCAGTTTGAAAAAGCCAAATTAGTTTTTGAAATCTACATTTTTCGAACTATCGAACGATTATCAAAACCCAACTGTAAGGCCAGGCATGAACGATAGCGAAGCACGCAAAGGATTTAGGAAGCGAAACGCAGTTTTTATTTATCGTTTTTACAGCGTTTAAAAAACCTACATTTGTGATTCACTTCTAAAAATAAGTATACGTTCACAATCATCATTTCTCAAGCTATGAATGATAAGTGAAACTTTGGTGGAAAACCTTTGCTGTGTGAAAAGACCATGTGAAAACGAGTGCAAATCACACTGTACACTCCGTAGAGAAAAACTCGATTTTCTCTTCGTGCTATAACACAATGAAAAAACATTTTCAAAAGCCAAAAATACCACCAGAACCGCAATTTTTCTAGCTATCAAGTGGCTATTCAAAGTTTAACGAGAAGTCCATAGTTGACGAGAAAATCACGAAAATTCGTATGTACCATCAGTGGTACACTCCATCCCGAAAGGGTTAAGCAAAATCATTTACAGTCCGGTTATTTAACTCTAAACTGCAAAGTATCCTCATAAAGGAGCACACTAATCAACTTTTCCTGCTTAGATGTGATAGGGCTTCCATAAATAAAATCATTGCAGTTTATCGAGTCTTTCATAGATTGATATTCTGTGAACTTGCAATAAAATTGAAGAGCGTCTTCGTAAGTGGTAAACCAAAACCTCCGACAATTTTTTTTGCAAAAGTTTGAAACATTTCTGAATGTAGGGAAAAAATAAGGTTGTCATGTTAGTGAGCATAGAAGCTATTCAAACATTTCCAACTTCTTTATCCACACTGAAATGCAATGAGCCGTTGTTCCCTATTAAGGGATGGCCTGTCACCCATCAGATTTTAGCAAGCCTATTCAGTTGCACCACTCATGACACTCTTTATAGTACTTTAATGAAAAAGATATAAAAAGGAACAGCTAAAACCAAGCTCAAATGATGTTATACCATACGCGATCACTGAAATCACTGCTTATAAAAGCTCATAAAAAAATTCATTGCGGTGTTCCTTATTTGATCTGAAACACTGGCTATAACGAAAACCAAAAATTCCAACAGCTTTCAATAGTACATAGCTAACTGAACTGGCTACAAGCTCAGCGTTCTAAGGACACTCGTACTCTTCTCAGAGTGCATTGAACTGGATGTTCGGAGAGATTATCTAGTCAGCACGAACGCGGTATGCGTAGGAGTCGACAGGCACGGAAAGGTACAACAATATAGGAACTCAGGCCAACAGTACGGTCAAAAGACAAGTTCACCATCATCACTACTACCACCACCCACCATCATCGTCATCGTCATTAACGGACGCGAAAAAAGCCCTATCGATCGTAATCGAAAACGTAAATTCAGAGTTAGATAGGGGTTGAGTGAGTTTCGATACCACAAGTTGGTTTGGCACAGGAAACTCAACAACCTCTCTAGTTGACCGAACACGAGTCGAAAAATATTTCGTCTGCTTCACCTGCTTGAATAGCACAGAATCTGTTACTACCACTGTCCGAAGTTTCCATCTGAGCTAATCTTTTTAGGGAATCATCGAGTTTCAATGACTTTGTTGCTTAAGTGACTGGAACTCGTTTTGTTTGACCGCCATAGCAGAGATATGATGTAACAAATTTATATGCAATAATGTCGAGTGGTATGCAAAACCTTGAACGACAGGCGGGAATCGAACCCGTAATCTACCTTCCCTGAGGCACGTGCTAACGATTTGTAACTTAATTGTTTCTTCGTGAGCTTCAAAATTATCGCTGTTTTTACACTGATCAACTTCCCATTGATAAACATCTGCAGAAATTTTAACATTCGAAATTTAATAAGGACAGTTACAGAAGTACTGAGATTAAAGCAAAACTAAAAAGCCCAGGTGCTCTTCGAACCAGGGATTACCTTTCTGGAGTCTCACATATTATCAACTACACTATCCTTGTACTAACTTTCTTTTCGTCATGTTTTAACCCTCTGCTAGATTCACCCGTCAATTAGAAAGATCAGGAGAGTGCAGACTGCTACTCAAGCTACTAAATCCGATTAAGCCTAAATAATGGTCTTAATCACAACGTAATATTTTATTTATTGCCTATTCTGTTTCTATGGCAGAGTATGATATGAAATGCAGTCATGCAAATGCTGAGATATAAGCAAAACTCGCAGGTTTCAAGTAAGCTTCGAAATTGTGGTTACCGTTTCCGGGACTCCACGCATTACCCAAGAAGACCCTGTTCTGCCACTGATGTGCACCAGCCGTCGGTTCTGCACCTATGCAGAATAATCTGAACAACTTCCTTTTGGGTGACTAACGAAGGACTAATCTACATAAGTATTACCACTGTACCTATAGCCAAATTCCTTTCTTGATTATTTATTCACCTATGGGTTATCAAAATATTTCTTTGTTCTTTAAAATTTCAGAATTGTGGCAGATAAATAATTCAGGAAAATATTCCTTATTCACTCCGAGGTTGGATGATAAACGGTTTTCAAAATATGTCTATTGAATATTGTCAAGATCAACAGAGAAGAAACCTGCCCGTTTATGGGTGAAATCGCAAGCTTAATGCAAATGCACGGCGGATTACTGCAAGGTTAACAAACATTGATGACTTTGTTGACGCTGACCTTGTTATCGCGAATGCTTCATTCTTAATCGTTTTAATACTTTTTTCCATATACCGAATAATGTAGAGTGGTGTGCGAAAATGTTTGCGTCAGCCGGGACTTGAACCCAGGTCTCATTCTTTCCAGGAGTGTATGCTAACCGTTGCATTACCGACGCACCGGCATAAGCTCCGAGAAGAATGAGATCTGGGTTGGAATCACGGCTGACGCAATCGTTTTTGCACACCATTCTACATTATTGAGCATATTAAGACATCATAACAATGTGGCAGTCAATTAAAAATGTTTTCTACTTTTTCCATCAATAATCCACATTTTTTTATTTATTGAAAAAATGTATAGTAGCATAAGACTACGTATAAAAGAGACTAGTTGCAGTAATATGGATAGAAGTGTGAAAAACGAAATTGATCCGATTTCTCTATAAGTATGTAATTTATACATTTCTTCTTATTATTTGAGCTAACATGTCATGTGGTCTGGTAAATGGGCTCTTGTACAGCCCCCATACACGCGTTTCGACTTTACAGTCTCGTCAGTCGAGCTGAACCCTTCGTCTTTCAATCTTCTTTTAGCCAATCCTCTGTGGGTGCTCCGGTCCCCACACTAAGAAGTATCGAAGACGAGCGCTTTGCACTGTAAGTCAAGTGAAAATATCAGCGAATTCAGTGTCGAAATAATGTTATAGTATGATAACATTACCAATCAAAGAGCAATGGAGTGTACAGTACTGTGGACTCGGTGATATTTTCACTTGACTTACAGTGTAAAGCGTTCGTCTTCGATACCTCTAAGTGTGAGGACTGGAGCACACACAGAGGATTGGCTAAAAAAGATTGTAAGACGACGGGTGCTACACGTGACAAGACTGTAAGGTCGAACCACGTGAATCGCTCTGTACAAGAGTCCATTTACCAGATCACATGACATGTTGGCTTAAATAATAATGAAGAGATCTATTGAAATTTGAGGGTGGTCTTAATAGAACACTCGAAATGAAGGTATAATATGTGTAGTTCACCATAAGTTACCTCCCAACCCATACGATAGGAACTAGGTAAATTTTTAGGTTCTTCTTGGTTAGAAGAAAGCAAAAGAAGAAGCGATCCCTTTCGCTATACAAGAACTTTTCATAAGAGTCTTAGCAATCATTCGAAAGCATAAATCTCTGAATAATGCGGTAGGCAGCTAATTTTGAAAAAATCCTTATTATAGCGCTTCAGTGGAAGGAGAATAACTGTATTACACACACGCCTTTTTTTCGCAAGATAAAGCTCTTTCTCCAGACTATTTGTAACCATTCCATAACGCAAGATTTAAAGATTTAAACTCTATACTTAAATTCTGGGAAGACCGTTTTTGTGAAGTGCGGTAGGGAAAATGAGACTGAATTGACATATGCGGGCATGGGTATTTTGGACATTCTACGGGGTGGCGGGCTAGGGAATATGCAACAGGTTTCAGAACGGCTGTCGATCAATTGGCCCTTCCGCGAGCCATGGTAGCGCAACTTTTGTTATTCAATTAGAAATTGTTCCTGTTTTAAAAGAAACTCCAGATCAAACGTCTTAATCTGATAGTAAAAATTTTCTTTATACGTTCATGCGCTTTTCGTATTTCCAGCGAAGCAATAATCGTGTTGCGCAGCCGGTGTAAAGCATAATTTATTTTGAATTTGACAACGCTGTAAAAGGGTCTTCTTAGAGAGCGGCCACGCAGCGCACTAGACAGAGATTTTAGCGTTCCAAAGATTACTAACGATCTTATGAAAAGTTCTTGCCCAGCCAAAGGGATCAATTTTCAATTGTTTCCACTGACCGATTTGACCTAAATCTTATAAAAAGATAAGAATATACCTCGATATATGACACAACAGTAATCTATCACTTTCTTGCTCTAAATTGTTATTAAGTAGGCAAAATTCCGTTAAAATAAGCTTTAGAGTTCTTTTTATGATATCGCGGTTTTGAAAAGGCGAGAGATAGAAGAGTAAAAAAAAAAGACAATAGCAAGATAGACAACAAAAATGAAAAGAACGCGTGCTCCTAAGATATTTGAAGGCTCTTCTTAAAGAAGATAAGATTGAATAGAATGGTCACGCAATCCGTAAATATCCAATTCGATTATGGCATTTTTGTTAGTGAGAATTTTTGCTAATAAACTTTTTTTAGAGTTACAAACTTTTTGAAACAGTTTTACTACTCATGAAAAACACAGTTAACTATACCATCGTTAATTGTATGTCTTCTACTCATTCATCCGTGAATAAGCGTGTAGGTTTTGCCTGGTGCGTACGTGCGGGTTGTAAGGTGAATTTATCAAGAAGCCATTCCACCGATCAACAGAAAAGTGTAGGGGATCGGTTTGAGTTCGTACCTAGAACATATATGCGCCACTATATCACAGGAACTCGACAATCCAACAAAAACTGTAGACTGCTTTACAAAAAAAAGTGAATGCTCCTCATTTGCCAAAAGGCGGTACCTAATAAGGATCGCACACGGAAACCCTCTATCTCCCTTCGCTTTGCGTTGAGCAAGTCTACTGCAATGAATAGTTCTAGATTTCCATCAGAACGAATGGAGAGATATCGTTGATGCTAGCTTGAATAAATCAAAATTAATAGTAATGAGTAATTACAGCTTTCAATAGACATACAAGCGAGCCGACAACGGGTGCGGTCGGTCACCGAAAAACAGTAGTATTGTGGGTAACCCTCACAAAAGCCGTCTATGCTCTTGTTCGTGTCAAGCATGCAGAGCACAATGAGAAAATTAGGGTCGCAACGAGTGCTAATGAGGAGACATCGTCGGTGCCAACTGGGGTCATTTGATGACTCAGAGAGCTACATGTCAAGATGATGGTGCATCGTAAAATACAGCGAGTAAAATCTAGTTTGATTGTTCTTTCTGTCTAACAGTGATGTCAATAATTTTGAAAAATTTGCAGAATCGAAAACTAGTACAAAGATTTTCGCTTGAAAAATTTGCATAATTGCTTACAATAGTATTATTCTATTACAAAATTCTCGAGAAGAAGGCTCATGAATTAAAGACATGCTACATCTCAGAGAGAAAATGCATATCATCAAAAGTGAAGAACCTCAAAGTCTTTGTTCATGAACTTATCTAGCTCTAGACGATTCGACCACGAGAAACAGTTCCAATTTGTTGCAAACTTGTTTCGAATAGTATCGTGTAATAATCCTATACGTCATGTTATTTATTTACGTTGCTCTTTGCAACGTAGCCGTACCACACCAGACTACATCGGGTGAAAAAATAATAAACATGATTGGTTTTTTTTTTCTTTCAGAAGACATCGTTCAAGTGCTCTGTGAGTTGTTCGCAGTAGTCTTGACGTGGTCGAATATCAGCCCACGTCTCCGCTGCATAACAGAGTGCTGTGAGGACTGTTGAGTCAAAAAGGTTAGCGCTTAATTTGGGGTCCATTATTTGGTCGGTGGCCTCTTTGAAAGTCCCAAATGCGGCCCACGCTGCTTTCCTTCTGTCAAGTTAATCCTTCATAATTTTCTCCTTATTCAGTGAACGACTAAGGTACACGTACGAGGAGGTCTCCGTAATTAAAGATTTTTCCAGTTTGATATGTTCATAATTGCACCATTGGTTTTTCATGAACTGGGTCTTCATGTGATTTATGCGTAGTCTGATCTTCTTCCCCGCTTCGTTAAGTTCCTTGAGCACCGTCTTTGCTTCAGTAGTGCTCTTCGAAATAAAACAATGTCATCCATAAAACGAAGGTTTGATAGAAATTTTCCATCGACACGTGTGCCCTTCTCGTTCCAATCAAGAGACTTCATTATCCACTGCAATGCGGCGGTGAGCAGCTTTGAAGATATCGCATCGCCTCGTCGAATTCCTTTTCCAATGGGTATGGTAAGAGGTCGATGAAAGAGCTGTACTTTCGTGGTACAGTTCCCGATATTGATTTGATAAGTTCTTATGTACAAAGGATTTGCTCCTTGATCGACGATCGCTGATAGGACTGCGTTTGTTTCGACGCCATCACATGCTTTTTCATAGTCGATGAAAGTTAGGATGAAGGGCAGGTGGTACTCCCGACCGACTTCTTTGGCCCTCGACACGGTTTGGATGTGATCCATGCAGCAAAATCCCTGTCAAAATCCTGCTTGCTCAATTGGTTGCGCCTCATCCAATGTTCTTGATATGCACAGAAGGATGATCTTCGTAAAAAGCTTGTAAAGTATGCTTGACAAGCAGATTGGATGATAGTTGCAAAGATCCCTTTGGTCACCCTTTTTGTGAATGATGACTGTGCGCGACGTCCTCCAACTGATCTGGAATTTTTTCTTCTTGAAGGTAAGATGCCATATGTGCCGCGAGAAGTACATATAAATTATGGCCTCCGGCTCGCAGCAAATTGGAAGAGATGTCATCGGGTCCTGGATCTGTGCCTTTTTCATGTTTCCCATCACGACTCGAACTTCGGAAGGGAGAATCCTAGGTGGTTTTTCTCCACTGGGGATTATGGGGTGCGAGACGGGGATGGTGGAACGGAAAAGATTGGTGTAGAGTTTTTCCGTTATCAATTCCATATCGTGGTTGGAAGTTCTCGTGATCCCATCTTCGTTCATCAACGCTGACAGCGAAACACTATAATCACACAGATTCCGACGGCACTTCTTCAGACTAGATCTTTCTTGTGCTGCTTCTAAGAGTTTCTTCTGTCGGTACCGATGTAGATCCTCCTGCGAAGCTCTTCTGCAGCTGGTTTTGATATCAACCGAGCTGAATGTGTGGCATTTGAATCAAGCTTCGGCTTCCTTTGCTTACGAGCAACTCCTTCGTGGTGGAGGAGATGTGATCGGCTCTCCTGAGTTGAGCAAGTGAAGCTAAGTTGGCGCACTTTTTTAGTCTTTCGACAAGCAGCTCGTGGTCTTCGATCGGATCATCCTAAATCTCCCAGTCGTGGTTGGTTAAGATTTCGTCTAGAATGTTCTCGTCGTAGACGGTTTGACGACAACCTCTCGAACGATGACATGAATTCTTTTCCACCCTGCGGTTGAATCGTATTTTGCTTGAAGAAGGCGGTGATCGGACCAAGTACAGAATGATGTCACTACGGTTCTGTCGAGCAGGCACCATCTCCTGTTGGTAAGCATATGGTCGATTTCCG